GGCATCCTTCAGCTCAGCAGGCACCTCCTCCTCAATCCACACGCGTTGCACCAAGTGGTGCAGCGCAGTCAACAACGCGGGTCCACCGTGTTTCAATACTTCAGGCGGGATCCCGTCGGCTCCGGCACATTTGCCGTTTCGCAGCTGAGCAAGTGCTCTCTGCGTCTCATCCAGTCTCGGCGTATCCGCCAGATCCGCCTTCACATCGTGCTGCTTCAGGCCGTTCAATGTAGGCCAGTCGATCTCTGAACGGTTGTTCAAGAGACAGTCAAAGTGTTTCCGCCAGACCTGCATTATGTCTGCAGTCTGGGTGCAGGTAGCGCCTGAACTACCATCGATCAGTGTCCTCAGCGGCTCCAATCTCGGTCCATACACCGCCTTCAAGGAGTCAAAGAATTCCTTGTGTTGACGGCGTTCGGCGTAGCATTCCATCTGCTTCGCTTTCTCCGTCCACCATGCATTTTTAATGCGACGGAGCTCTCGGGTCAGTCGCCGTCGAAGTTTGCGAAACTGACTCCTCTTCCCCAAGTCACTGGGGTCTGCAACATGTGCAGCAAATGCTGCATTCTTCTCTGACACCAATGCGTCAATCGTCACATTGTTGTCATCAAACCAATCAGGCCGCTTACAGTTTGCGCGCCCGATCGTCTCCTCCGCAGCAGCTGTCACCTGGTCGCGAATGTGGTGCCACAGGTCGCCCACTGTGGCTATACAGTCCACATCACCACACAGGCGTGCAGCCATCGCCTTCTCCAGCTCAGTACGTTTCGCCACAGTACCGAGGGAGAGAATGTTAAATTTACGCCGATTCACGGCGGGAGTGCAATACATCGATTTACGAAAATATATGTACAGTTTGGTCCGAACCAACTTGTGATCAGTGCCACACTCAGCTCCACGCAGTACACGTGTCATGCGCACTTCACGCATATCACGCTGACGTACGATGACATAGTCGAGCAGGTGAGCGTGACCACTCCGTGGGTGCGTCCAAGTTGCTATATCACTCGCACTCAGTGCAAACCGAGTGTTCGTGATCGTCAGGCCGTGAGTGGCACACAATGAGAGCAGCCTGTCACCGTTCGCATTCGCTGAACCAATGCCATGCGCACCGATAACATCTGTCCACGCTGATGCATCACGCCCAACGCGCGCGTTGAAATCACCCAGCAGAAATAGTCGGTCGCTCTTCGGCACAGACCGTATCACGGAGGATAACTCAGTGTAGAATTGATCACGCGTGTCATCAGGGTAACACATGGTCGGACCGTACGTGCTTATGAAAGTAGCAAACTTACCTCTTCCGAGTCGTAGGCGAACAGTCATCAGGCGCGCGCTGATGCCCGTTGGTTCACCCACCAGCTGGCCATTCAGGCGATCGGATATTGCAAATCCGACCCCATGTTCACGTGGAGCTGAGGCGGCGTTGCCCACCCAGTAGAATGTGTAGCCAGCACCTGCTTCATGTAACTTACCTTGCTCAGCGAGCAGAGTTTCAATGAGCGCCGCAATATCGATGTGGTAGCGCGCCAGCTCCATTGCGACCAGTGCAGTGCGTCGCTCCGGGCGCTCGCTGGAGTTCCGGTCCAGTAGTGTGCGCACGTTCCAGCACCCGATGCTGATTGCTTTGCACGCAGGCATACGATTGCATTGGTGGGCAATCGCACGCGAGGTGGTCGTTGTGCTTCGGAGGTTTGCTTGAGGGACTCCACCCGGAGCCTTTGGCTCAATAGCCTGACCCACAAGGCAGTGGGTGGTTTGGAGGTTTGCTTGGGGGACTCCGCCCGGAGCCTTTGGCTCAATAGCCTGACCCACAAGGCAGTGGGGAGAGGATCCAGCTCGGGAATGTGATTGCAGAGACAGATGGGGATCTGCTTGACGGCCGTCACACGCAGCCTTTGAGGTTCTGGAACAGTTATCATATGTTTTGCGACCGTAATTGGATACGCACCTGCGACCACGGCCAGACGCAGGTGGGTTTTTGGCGGGTTGGCACCAATTTGACCAAGGGCTGCCTGGCTTGAGGCGGGCAGTAGCAAACCATTGAACACCCGGAGGTGTCCTCCCACCGTCAGAGACAATGCGTGGCACTCGTGCTCTACGCCAATCGAGCATTGAGAATATCACCCGTAACCTGTTGTCTCCCATGGCTAGGTTTTACGGGAAGTGGGCCATCGACCACTTCCTAACCTCCGGAGAGGATGGACTAGGATACTGCCAGGGCGCCCAATCCTGACAGGAGAACGACTCGGGTCCTCAGCCAAAGCCTTCGATTAAATGAACACCCGAAAGGCAGCGGGTCTAGCACATGGTCAGTTAGCCGACTCATGCGGATTGGTGTCCTGGATCTTAGCAGGGAGAAGGGCGAAACCTAACTCCCACCCAGCGGTCGCCACGAGGAGGCGCCCAGGACATGAGACTATGGCGCAACAGTAGCAGCAGTGGGTAGACCATCTGTCAGGATCTAGCCACCACCAGCCTCAGCGCACCATAGGCTCTCCCGCCTATATATATATATATATATATATATATATATATATATATATATATATAGGAATGCCACCACAAATGAACATGTATTTTCCTTCTACCTAAGTATGTTCACACCTTTTCTCATTGCTATTACAAGACGCGGATTGTTTATAAATTTGGGCTGAACTGGTGTTATAATATGGTTCTAGGCATGACCCTTTAGTGTATTTCAAGTTACTTCCGCGCAATCATAAAGACGGGGAGGGGTATTTCATATAGAGGATTGGAAATGCAAAGTGATAGGTAAGCTACTTTCTCGACACGTATGAGGTGATTGTACAACACTCGAAATTGGTGATGAGTTTGGTCTAAGCGGTAATTGAAGAATAAGTACTACCAGCGTAAGATTGGAAGGGGTACAACAGCAGCTCCGAAACTCTCCTTTTCGAATGCATTCCCACTGATAGAAATAGCATAGGTTTGCTTCAAAGCAAAGTTTGATCTCAGTCGATATAGCATATCGCGAGCACTTCCGGATCCAATAATAAAATTCGTATCCCTGCATGAAGTTACCGAGCTTCGGAAGAGTACGCAATAAGGCCAACCATATATCGGTCCCTCGCCTTAAGGATCACAAGTCTGATCGGTAATCCGAAGATGCAGGTTTGAATCTTCGTAGAGGATAGAGCGTCCCGCTCATACCCTTAGCCCACGTGCGACTGGTAGTGGTTTCGTGCAGCCCAGCATCGGTACTGAGTACCGACGTACTGCTGATGCCTTTCTTCTCCTTCTTTCAAGGAGGTAATTAATATTGAGCAGGACTTGCCACAACGACAGTTACGCAGCACCTACCAGTGGGTACTGGTTTATATAACTCATCCCTGTGGCCCATTGGTCTTAACCACAGTCTCTCAAGAATACCATTGCGTATTATTATACATTCCAATACATATAATGAAAAGTTAAGTTGCTCGCTGCCAACCATTCCCGAAAGGGTGCAGAGGCTATCCAGTGTTTTTGCGTATTTTCAGTGGTTGCCTGACTAAGTGGATCTTTGACGAAACAGCTTCCGATTAAAATCCAAATCTTTCCTCTTACTACTCTAAACATTTGCGTCTACTTGGAAAAACCGGTATGGCATATTAGCCAGATTCAACGATGAGCCAAAAGCAAGCCAATATTCTCCCAAATTTGGGCCGTCGTTACAAAATCCGAAAACACGCGTTCTGGATGTGCTAACCTTTTGCGCAGAGAGCTTCGCTATTTTGTTTGCTGATGTCAACAAAAACAAAGGCATTCAGCCTGCATGGGTAGTAGGCTATCCTAGACCTGTAGCTTTTAGCTTAACCTCTACGTTACGCAACAGCGAAATCGTATCCAGCAACTCACAAAAGATAGTGGTAGTTGCGAAATCCAAGCGGACAGTTGAACACGCACAATGTTTTCTTGGCCAACGCAACTGCCACATAGAGATGAAACTGCTTTCGTTAAAAAGACAATTAAATACCTGTCACACAAATGCCATCGGAATGTCGATGGTTACTTATAGGTTAACGAAAAAAACAGGTATCTACCCTATGCAACAGAAGTTCCAATTTCTTAAGCACGAAAGACGACAGGTTCGTACCCTGTGTAACAAGAAGCTCAACGTCTGAAATCTAAGACCTACTTGAGGGGTTTGTATGCTACACAACCATTAGGTGTGAAAACACAGCGGAATGATTTTTACGGTGTGATTTTAGCATCCAATTGAGACTGTTTAATGGTTGCTATCCCAAGTGCCACGCCTCAGTTACTAGCATTAAGTCTCGGTCCCTTTACGACCTTGTTGACGAGTCAGAGAACTACGGGGTGCAGCAGTTGGGTCGATGTATTACAACCCCCCACCCCCAAGTGGTGGTGTCTCCTCGATACACTTCTCAGCGACGATAGACTGCACACGTCGATGCATCCTATCCCACTTGCTAAATTATGGAGGATGTTTTCCCGCGGTTGATTATCTCTGATATTAATGAAAGAACCTGCAGATAGGCTACACGTTTCAGTCGAATTCAAGACCAATGAAACCACGTATAAACTAAACTGAACGGTTGCGCTGATTTTGATGCTGTATGTTTGTCGTGCGGAAAGTTCTTCGGCACTGCTAGCATAAAGTTCTTTCAGCTTTTCCTTAACCGAACTAATCAGCAAATAATTTCATTTTAAAGCTTTATGGAAGGGATGTAGCATGCAGCAAAAGGTATGGATAATTGTATGCTTAATGTAAAGGCGGTATAAACTACTTCACCATTCTGATCAGTCATCCCAAATCCCCGTGTAGTTCTTCGAGTTACATTTGCACTGTCAATGAATTCAAAGACACTTTCCCACTTGAAATTAAGTCAATATGGATGCTTCAGTACGGAGAACTTGTTCTAAGTTAGCCCAGCCTCGTCGTCATACTACTAATCAGTATATTTATTGTGCAGCTAATCCAACTCTTTTTCCACTATGGCATATAGTGCACCTCATTTTACCCATTCTTATAGACGAAATCGCTTGCGGTGACCCAGCACTGTGTGAACGTATCTGTGGAAAATCCGGTGGTTGCACAGATATCGCGTACCCACGACTTGTACTACGTCTCCTACCACCTGGGGCCAAAGGTCTGATGATTGCAGTGATGATCGCATCATTAGTCTCCAGTTTGACAAGCATTTTCAACTCCAGCTCCACGCTATTCACAATGGACATTTGGCGTCGTATTCGACCGCGTGCTGGTTCGGCGGAGCTGATGATTGTGGGAAGGTAAGCGGTGTTGATGGATGGTCAGAGTCACTAAGCTTAGTCCGTTTGTTGGGTTCACTCTACCCTTAGGTGAGTGCGCTGATTACCCTCATCAAATGCCGATTTGTACCTAGACTACTGAATTTGCTACAAAAATACGGTAACTATACAGGCGTTAGGAATAATTAACAAACAAATAAAAGGATTTTTGCCGGAAGTTCAGGATTTCCAAAGCTCATGCAGATACCAACAAACAGAACAGTGGGATTTTATCGATGCACGCATTATTGTGTAATACATATGTTTGGAATTTTGTCTATCTAAAATTTGCTTACATAGAAGGGCTTTTTCGGGTTGTGTTCCGGATAAATATTAATGTACTAACAAACGAACGGATGTAACTTACAACTTTTACGGTGTAGCTAGACCAAGTGAATAAAATGGCTGCTCATCTTAAGTTCACTTCTTATACAAAGCCGATCTTACATAGAACAAATCTTGCAGGTAGGGATTAGAACCTCTAACTAAACACTTAGCATGCTGCTTCTCTGTAAGGTATATGCTACTTATTGCACAAGCCATCGCAAATTTCAAGATTCTCGGAAGTTTGGTCTGTTCAGTGTCCGGAAGTCTCTTTTTTCACTATGATTTTCCGACGCTGCAAGTCAGTATGGTTTTCCCTAACTGAAGCAACATTTTCCTACTTATCATTCAACCACTTTATTTTCACTTATAAACCCCGCTAACCGGTCGTAAGATATTTCTTTAAGCTTATTTTTATTTGTAGTAGCAAAGGATTAAAGGATGGTTGGAGACCGCCAGCTGCCGCAACCTACTGAAAAATATTTGCAGTCCCTCATTGTTTACAAAGCAAACTATAGACTAAAAGTCCGAATGTGCCAATCGTTTGGACCAAATGAATAGGCAGTTTGGCATATCCGGGCGACCAAACTAGGATTATGTCGAGTACAGAATTCATGTTAACCGCTCATCCAGCACAAAACCATGTAATTCACCTCACAGTTTCTCTAAAATCACCGTAAACTGCTTCTAGTTCCCGCCTCTGTTGAATTAACTTGAAAAGCTTACTACCTTCGCTACCAGATAAGTACACCGGGGTGACGGGTTGAAAATAACACACCGTAATGATGCAACAGCTATTGCCGTAACTAGATGTAGCGAGCATACCGAAACTGAATAATACGTACTTTTGACAATTAGGACAAGTTTCTACACAACTTCATCAAAATTTGTTTGTTTTGTTATACCCTTAGTGACGTTTTACCACACAAAATTCGTTTCCGTAGTACCGTCTAGTTAAATCATAATCAAGCATGAGTTCACTAATGTTTCGAACTAAGTTCATAGATAGGCATTTTTGCAAGCAATTGCAAGTATCTGTCTGTAACGAGCATTCGCAGATAATGCATCCAGCATTTTCATGCAGTTTGGCAATTATTACGACTTCATAATAGGCCCAGGAGGTACATTCGGAATTTCACCATGCACTGTTCGAAGCATAGATCGTAGGCGACCGCTTCTTATCTGGCATGACAAGCCTGTGACCTTACCGTTTTTGCCTCTCGTTCGCAGCTAGATCCGTGGTATTAGCATCGAGAAACCCTTGAGATGTAAACTACGGTGTGTCATGCTGAGGTCTAATCACTCAGAAACGATGATAGGGTAGCGTGTCGAGTTCTTTTCAGTGTCCTGTTCTGGGACACCGCGCAACTGGGGTTAAGTACGATGCTGACTCACTGGACACACTCGAGCTCGCAGGCGGCGTTTCGAGTGATCGGACAGTAATCGGTAAGGCCATATACTAACATTTACTTAGCATCCGCTTAACAGCACCACAGCGGCAACGGTACTTGTGTATATATCCCTAACTGCAACAACTAGCAACTAATCCGAATAACACAGTTTTACTTCTGAAAGGAACAGTGCTTATTCTTTCAGAAACACACTCGGAGGTACTCGGGGATTGCATGATTACGAGTTAGTAATGTCTAAAATTTATCTGTGATTTATTCTTGGTTTCTTAGCAAAAGGTTGGTCTAACTGAATCAATTATGTTTGAACTACACACTAACCCGGCATTAAAGCCAATGGCATCGGTTTCCAGGTGTCCCCGAAGTATAATGTACACCGGCAAAACTGCATATCAGGTCACTCTGACCACATCACATCAATAGGTGCCGGAGCATCCTCAACCAAATGGCTCATTATTTCAAGAAGGCCATCAACTAACATTTGTTTTTTTAATTCCTGGCGGTTAGATTTTTCCGCTGTGCAAGCATTTCCCGAAAATGTTTCAAGATCTAAGCTATTATGCAGAAGTATTTCATTCGAAGCTAGATTTGGCTATAGGGTTAGCACAACATAAATACAAGGATTGCTAGTGGCTTAGTCACACTTCTGTACCTTCAGAGACTCCAGCACTCCACTGCCCAAAGTATTTCACTTGCAATGCTCAGCATGATGAATGCGTCGCATTTTGATAGATGTACCAGGAAGTGCATGATTCGACTTGGAAAACCAATCATAGCTAGACGTTCCAATATTTGAGGTATATCTGTGAAAATAAGCTGATCAAGAGCTGCTGGTGGCAATCATGCAAATATATTCGGGGCAAAACAGCCGCTTAGTAGGCATACGTCAATCACAGTACTGCTTAGTATACTTTTTCTTAGTACCAGCTCTATTTGGATACCAGCAACTCACCGCTACTGATACATTCATAGCCAAAAGTCCGCTGGAAACTTAGCTATCTTTAGTTCTCTGGGGACACAGTTTAAATACGCGCAACTAATTTTCTGCAAATAAGCTGGGTGGAATGCAGCCAACACAATTTGGCGAAAAGGTAAAAATATAGGGAGTGTCCATGTACTGTGAAAAGTAGCTTTGCGTGTTTCCAGAAAGGTCCAATGCATTATCCGGTGCTCGATTTAGCTGAAGGCTACACTTTCTCGGTTACTTACTTTGCATAATATTCATTGAACTTGGCAACTAGAAATTAAAAGCTGGTGCCCTAACACGAGGAGTCTGGAAGCGGTTTTCAATTAGTTAGGTCTATTTTACAAAAAGCTGCACAACAGTGATACCGCATACTACCGAATATGAGCCAACATTGTAAGTGCCTTTAGTATAACTGCAGTGTCAAATTGGTCCAAAGTCCTAAGTCACTATACTAGCCGACCCCCAAGAATAACAGCAAGGAACAAACGATCTTGCTTCCCCACGATTTTAACTTATACAGAAATGAAAACTTTATAAACATCATCGGCCTATCTTCGGTAATTTAAGATGAGAGCCAGCCCTTATGGTTCGCTCCGATGGGTTGATGTCAGCAGATACACAATCGCAAGGCGCTTAGTCTTTCATAGCATTGGATTTTTACTTCGGGCATGCATCAAATCGTGGAGACGCCAAACACTTGACAAGCGATCCCCATCTTCTCCTTGTTTTGAACCAAGTTACATGTCCTTAGTGTCATCCAAAACTAGTGGGGCTCATGAAAATGAAACGAATAAACATGTTGAACAAGGTTTTCATATTGATGACCTACTTTACAATGCAAAGGGAGATTTTAAGGGCAAATTATGCAAAAGGATGGCTAAGTTATAATTAACTAGCGTCTAAAAGTGAGTAAGAAGTGAACATTTGCGTTCTATCAAAACATAGTGACCAGTCGTAATAATTCTAACTGGAGTTGAACCTCGTGGAATTAAATAGAATAGCGAGATGGGCCATAGGCGAGATAATTCAAGTGCTTCAAGGAGATCAGCTGTGTTGGCATCGTTGTGTGATATATGAAAATCCAATTGAAATTGAGCCAACAACGTGCTGAGAGAAACAAGAAATTAGGCAGTTCTAAATAGCACCTGTCGTGGAAAACAGAAATTTAGGGTACTTATCCACAATCGCTTGCAAGATAAACATGCAAATGAAAATAAGGAAGCTTGATTGTTACACAGCATTCCAGCGCCTCCGATGACAATGCTGATTGTGTATCAGACAATTGGCCAAGAACTAAAACGTAGAGAATCGCTAACGGGCTTGCGTCAGCATCTGGAGGTGACAGACAGCGGGAGTCCTTGAGGAAATGACTTATTAGTGAAAGAAGAACGCTCTTGCACAGATGTTAACAGAGGTACACGTGTGGCTCGAGTGCGGTGTCAGTTACACTGCAAATGCAAGAAGAGGGTTTAAAGGGACAGTTTGGGACGCAGCAGTCCAGCCGCTCCGGTTTGAAACCTGCCTAATTCTACATTAGACAGGAAAGGTGGCATTGATAGCCATCGAAAAGTTTAGTGGCCGCACTTAAAAAGAGCAGACTAACACTATACTCCGGAGGTAACAGTAGGAGGCTGAGTTACGAACTGGATTGTGAAAATGGCTAAGGAGTGATCCTTTATAATATTAATTTGACCCGTTTGCCACGTGCTTTTGCATAGTTTTAGTGGCAAGCTCTCGTCCTGCTGCTTCTATGCATCAACATCCGACTTCCTAGGGCGATTCATTCGCTTGGACTGGTATCAGTTACTATATCGCTTTGATTACGGGAAAGTGATAGTGCATACAATGGACAAAACAGCAAACAACAACGCTTAAGATAACGCCGAAATTTAGCAAATGACGTGGTTAATACTTTTGGGTACGTTCACGGAACAGCGGTTCTCCGCAGTCTGCAGAGTGTATTCTTAGCACCTACCAGGTAGTTTGTGTTTCAGCGACACCATCCGTGCACATATGGCAGGTGTCTTTTGCATATAGTATACATATCGCGAAGTGGTACTATTAACAGCTCCAATATTCGAACCTATTCACTGCATCATTGATTGAAATGAAGCGGAATTACTGAGATATTGCGATGCTGCTTGCCAGGACCTTTCCAAGCAAATAGTTGACCTGGACACAATGACCTCATCAACATGGCCATGGTAAGTGGGCGAATAGGCAAATAATACCTTTTTTGAAAGAAGTTTATTACACAGAATGGGCAGTACCGGAATCTAGTGGTCCTTGGTTTTGCATACAACCTCCGTTCGAAGGCATCAGAACTTTGGAACGCAGTACTAGTGTACGGCTCACGATCGGATTGCGGCAGCCATAGAGGAATCAGGCTGATCTCCACCGCCACCAAATTGCTTGCCACTGTAATCCTTCACAGACTGACTGTCACTCGTGAAAGCCAGATTCGTGAAGAGCACGCTGGATTTCGTCGAGGTCGTGGCTGCATTGACCACATCTTTACCTTGCGTCCGTTGTTGGAGCACCGCCACATATATTGGCGGCCCACTATTGTCGTGTTCCTCGATATCAAAGGTGCATTCGATTCGGTGGATAGACATGCACTTTGGGACTGTCTACTCAGGAAAGGTGTGCCCGAGAAATATGTGAATATTATCCGAGCATTATATGCTCGTAGCTCGGGCAGAGTGAGGGCTTATGGCAAGCTGTCGTCGCCCTTTAATATCTCCAGCGGCGTGAGACAAGGATGCCCGCTGTCACCTTTCCTCTTCAAGTTCGCTGTTGACGAAGTCATGGAAATCGCGTTTACAGGACACGACTTAGAAGGTGTGGAGCTACTCCCAGGAGAACGACTTCTTGACTTAGAGTATGCTGATGATATTGCCCTAATCTGTGACAGCTCACAAATGTGCCAAGCGGCACTGGACAGATTAGCACTAGCTGTCCGTCACTTCGGGCTTTGCTTCGCACCCTCGAAGTGCAAAGCGTTTCTCCAAGATTGGTCTGGACCGCCCCCTACGCTGACCGTTGGTGGGGATCAGCTAGAAGTCGTTCAAAAATTCAACTACCTGGGAAGTTGTATCAGCGCCCGTGGGATTGAAGATGAGATCACGAACCGTATAGCGAAAGCTCGGGGCGCTTTTGCTAACCTTCGCCACTTACGGCGCCGGCGGACATCACTCTTGCCCTGAAGGGTAGAGTGTACAATGCAGTTGTACGTTCGACCCTACTGTACGGTTGTGAAACCTGACCGCTTAAAGCAGCGGACCTGAAGAGGCTAGTTACGTTCGACCACCGGTGCCTTCGCAGTTTGGCTCACATCTGGTGGGAACACCGCGTGAGTAACGAGCGTGTCCGACGCCTTGTTTATGGCACAGGAAAAGGAACTGAACCGCTCAGCACCGTTATTTCACGCACCAGACTCCGATGGTTCGGCCACGTGTTACGCATGCCAGCCCACCGACTCCCGCGAGGTACGTTGTTTGCGCGCCGGGGGTGTGGATGGAAGAAGAGGAGAGGTGGCCAAGCGATGACTTGGTCCAGAGGAATGAAGGCCCTCACTTCTGAGCTGGCCTCGGTTGGAGCGTCTCGGCTCCCTGGTTGGGGTCCGAAAGACGATGAACACGTTTGGTTGGAGACACTTGCTGATATGGCTAGGAGCCGACCTCAGTGGAGTTCGTGCTGTGAGTTTCTTTATCCCACCCCATCCCTCTTAGCCTCCCCCTCCAACCACGATCTCATTATTTAACTTTATGTAATTTTGCATAGTAATTTTTTTTGATGCATAGTAGCCGGCTGGTAGCTTACCGGAACGATGCCCATCCGTTACCGGCAGCTCAGCCGGCTTGCCCCAGTTGAATTCTTTTTTTTTCTCTCCTTTTTTCTGTGTATTGCGGCACAGTAGCTGAGGTGTTCCCCACCTTTAGCTAACGTGTATGATGGTGATGATGATGTACGGCTGACACCTTTTTCTATTTGCAAAACAGTCTTCTCTCTCAACTGCATTACCCTAACCACTTCGGTTCACTTTGTTTCATCCTTAGGGTGACCATAGTGGTACTCATAGGCATTTCGGTGGCCTGGATCCCCATTGTTCAGTCCAGCGGCGAGCTGTTTCACTACATCCAATCCGTTACAAGCTACTTGGCCCCACCAGTCTGCGCTGTCTATCTTCTCGCAATGTTCTGGGCTCGCTTCAATGAACTGGTACGTTGTACTGATCCGTAGACCGTGGTTCCTACTCACTTAGAGCCAGCTCAAAACCTATAGGAATCGCAGATGAACTTCGGTTGGCGGAAAAGTTCATTCTTTCCAGTAACAATAAATGTAATCTCCATGATCATCCATTGTATGGTAGCTGACGCGCCAAGTTTTGGATGCAGTTGAAATCCCAACAGTATGAGTAAATAACCCCAGCTTCTCTATTTGCTGCGGGTTACTTTGACTGCCATTTCCAGTTTGTGCATTATTGCACTTCCTGGAACAGTGAAGCATTGCGATGCTTTACCTTTGACTCGAAAAAGTCCATGCAATGGCCAGATTTTAACTCTTCTCCAAGCATGGATCTACCACACTGTACAGCCAAAAATAAAGTCATTTTCTGTCCATTCTACACGAAAATGCATGTAAATGTTTCGTCGGACGAAAATATTATGGTCACTATGAGTCTCAGTCCAGGTGCAGATCTACTCCGAATGATTGGTGGTATGGAGATGGTGCTGCTCAAGCCTCCATCCTTGTGTAACTCCCCTTTCTGCATAAATGATGGGCATTTGCTCCAAGCATTTGTTACCACAAATCCTACTGCAATCAAAAAACTGTTTTGTCTGTTGCGCTTAAAACAACTTTATAAAATATCTCTGCTGCATCGAATGACGCGGCTACACGTTAGAAAGCTGCGCTCCGCATGGGCTTTAGTTTTCATTAACCTTATCAGTGTCTGCGAATCCTCTTTTCGCGGTAATTTTAGTTGCGAAACTATGCCATTTGCACGTCGTTTCTCTTGTGTTACAGGGAGCTTTCGTCGCCCTAATGGTTGGCTTGGTTATTGGTCTAATCCGCTTCATCTGGGAAGCTATTTATCCCGTACCCAACTGCGGTGAGGAGCAGGAGATTACCACTGCTCAACTGCTGATAGTCAAATTAAATTACCTACACTTCGGAGTAATCTTATTCGTTATCACGCTGGTCGTGGCATGGGCGGCCGCCATACTGTCGGAACCACCGCCACACAAACGTGTGAGTTTCAGTCTGCAGACATGACATTTTCTCAATCTACGGCTAGTTACGTGATTAGTGCTCTGTGGGCTTGACGGTGACTATCCGGCCCATAATGTCTCACGAACCAATTAAGTGATGAGAACTTTTCGCCTTCTATTATTATGCGCAAGCAAGAGCTATGTTATGGCTGCACTGAATGTATTTTTCTCCCATCTTCCTGCCACGGTTACTCCTATCGAGGGTAAGTTATCTAGTTTGTCCCAATATCTTCGGCTCAGAACCGTTAATGCACAGACATTCAGGGCTGATATACTTGATTTCTATGCCGTAAGCTGTGACGATGAATGTATCGCCGCGAAAACTACATGACACATATCACCACCAGCGTGGTAGCACTAGTACACTAGCATGTATACCAGATGACACTGAAGCATCGGAGATGCTGGCACTGTTGTTCACTGTTGTTCAAGAAACGAGATGAAAGAGATCTGCTGTGAGGTCTAAAAGCCGTGGCAAACATTTGGGAACAGAGCTCATGCGTACCATCAACGCCGCCGGTGCGTAACGCATGAGTCTGTGCTAAAACTGTGACAGCGTCTAGATGCTTATTTCCTGTATTTATGACTTCCACACGTTACAACCAACTGAACTTCGTACAGCCCTTAGCCCCATACATAATCCAAACAACAGTTTGAGTAGAATGTAACGCTCCGTTTTGATTCGTTTGCGATTGGTGCATCGGTTTTTGTCTCCGAAACCGGACTGGTCACATTCCAGTTGCGGATTCGAGACCTACCAGGGTCCAATGGAATGCGCCCTGCTGAGGATTCCCGAAAGGATGAAACGCGCGTACAGTGCTTTTCCGGGCGTGTGATGGCTGTCTGAGTGAGTCTAGATGTAACGAATTTCTAGCTTTATCATTTGAGATGTGTTGGACACGTCCTGCGCATGCCTAAAGATCGTTTACAAAGCCGCGCCCTGTTTGTGCACTCATGGTTAGTTAAGAAAAGGCCGCGTGAGATCAACCATCCGTCTGGCGACAGTGCATGAAATCGATGACATCTTGCCTGGCCATTGCTGGCCGGCTGGGGACCCAAAGATGAAGAATGACAATAGCTCACAACACTGGGAGCAATGACGAAAAACTGGTCGCAGTGGAAACAATGTACCCAAGTAGGCCTGAACTCACGTTTATAAAAGCAAACGCTTAAGAGCTGCAAAAAAGAGCAAAGTGGCGTGTATTAAACCATAAAATTTGGTGATCCGTTTTTCATCCATTAGCGAGCCCTCTTACATATTTTGTGCAGCTTTTTATCCGTTAATCCAAATTACATGACGTTGAATGTCTCGACGTCTGTTTTATAGACCCCAGCCAATATATATATATATATATATATATATATATATATATCGGCGCGTGCTACTAGCATATACGGTCGCGAGTGCCTGAGTCAAGCAGGCCTAGTGAACCATGAGCGCTGCCACTCGTGATCACCACCGAAGCCACGACGGGTCTTGCAGAGAATGTAGACAGAACCAGAGCAGCATTTGTAGGTACGCTGCATTCGATTTACTAACCGCGTACTTGCATGCTGAGTCACTTTATTTCAGGTGGCGGGTTTGCTATATTGTTTTAATGCTTTTTATCTCATATTCAGTTCTACCTGAACTATCTTCTATAAACTTTCACACCTCGCTGAAGCTAATTTTAGTTAACTTCGAGGTTGTGCCACTTTCTTAAGATATATATTGTCTGACGTATTGAACCTTCCGCGGATTTTTTGCAACCAGTTTATTTCATACGCTCATTTCATGAAGAGTTATGTCACCGTATCTGTAGGCATTATTCGATTTATTTTATTTGATATTGTTGTTTCAAATGATTGCCTGTTGTTTGACATCCTCAGTGTGGCTGCGCTTGATGTGCGTGTTGACAAGGTGCCTACCTGTCTATTACCCACTACCTCGTCAATACTGGCTGAAGGGGACAGGGTGCACAGTCCTTGTGGCCGTGCTAGACTCGAAGAGTGGTTCCATGCGCTCAGTGTGGAGCGGACTACGGTCCAGCCACCGCCTTGTATGAGCTTAATTCCCAAATACAGCGTGTTTGTGTTTGCCTGTGAAGGAGTGTGGGCCGGCTCCGTTGATGAAACGTGGCGCCCAGTCACATGCCTCCCGGTCATATTCCTTCGGTTTTACACTGGATATGGGGTGTGTGGATGGAGCTGTGGGTGGTGCAGCGCAAGCCAACCATAATCCCTTTGTAGGCGCAGGCGTCCTGTGGCTGATCACATTAACAGACAAATCCGAAACCGGATGTCACCAACCGTATATATATATATATATATATATATATATATGTCACTCAGTTGTCTTAGTTACTTTTTCCCCGAATTGTCTAATTGTTCAAGGAGCTGAGTGTTTTGTGGCTGAAGTGTTGCCAGTCAAGTTTCTTGACCATTCATGCTTGATTGATAAAATGGTGAATCACACACCTTCCTTTGTCCTGTCATACCTGATGTGCTACTGATTTAGGATTTTTTTAGTGCGCCAAGTCATTGGTGGAATACTTCGTTAATAAGTCCTTGTACTTAGCATGCCAACGGTCAATTGTGTGAGTAGCTATTCAGAAGGATCCTCGTTACCACCCAATCTATGGTTTCTAGCACAAAAGTCTGAACTCCACACTAAATGAAATAGCCAGATTTGTCGCTCTAACAGGGAGGGATGTGACACAAACTGCTACTTTATGTTGCCTAGCTGCTTATGCAGCCACTCCTTCACAGCATGCGTAGATCCGTTAATCAGGAACTTTCTTAGTTTACAGTCCCCAAACATCAACAGGGCAGTCGTATATTAAATTGTATCCGTGAAAACCAGATGCAGGAGAAGGCCTGGTTTCAACGAAATCGAGACTACATTGACCAATTCTTCACAAAACTTTAGTTGTTTGATCAGCACTATGTTTATTTGTGACCCGCTGTAATTTTATTTCTAGACATTAAAGGGGATTTTGATTCTGTTGATCGATGTGCCTTTTGGGACGGCATACTAAGGGAAGATGTGTCCGAGAATTATGTGAATGTCATAAGAACCCTGTACGCGCATGATTCGGACAGAGTGAGGGTTTACGGCAAATGTTCGCCACCCTTCAATACCTCCATTGTTGTGAAATAAGGTTACCTGCTGTCACCTTTCCTTTTCAAGTTCACCATTGACGAAGTCATGGAAACGGCGTTCGCCGGGCCCGACTTAGGTGTGGGGCTTTACACAGGCTATCGACTTCTTGAATTGGAGTATTCCGACGACATTATGCTCATCTGGGACAACTTCCTAAGGTGCCAAAGGGCACTGGACAAATTAGCACCGGCTCTCACTCATTTCGGACTATGCTTTCACCGTCGAAATGCAAAATCCGTCTCAAAGCTTTGTAGGGACCCACTTCTGCGTTTACCCATGGTGGTGACCAGCTAGAAGTCGTCCAGAAGATTCAGTATCTGGGCAGCTATATTAGTGCCAATCTCCGCCACCTGCGACGATGGAGTGACATTACTCTTGCTCCGAAAAGTAACGTTTACAGTGCAGCCGTCTGTTCAACCTTCCTGTACGATTAAAAATCCTGGCCCATTAAGTCGACAGACTTAAAGTGCCTTGTTAGGTACGATCATCACCGCCTTCGCAGCACAGCTCATGTCTGATGGGAACAACGTGAGAAACATGAGCGTGTTCGTCACCGCGTATTTGGTGCAGGAGGAACGACTGAATCGCTCAATGACATCATATCACGCACCAGGTTTCGATGGCTAGGTCACATGTTGCGCATACCAGCACACCGACTCTCACATCATGCGTTGTTCGAGCGCCCGGGGTCTGGATGGAATGAGAGGAGGAGAGACCAAGCAATGACTTGCTTACGTGGATGAAGTGCCACACTTCGAGTTTGGCATCGGTTGGTCGGAAGGACAAAGAACACGTTTGCTTGGATACACTGGTTAACATGACTATGAGCCGACCTCAGTAGCGTTTGTGTTGTGAGTCTCTTTGTTCCTCCTCTCCCCTTAAGCTTCCCTCTCTAACAACGATCTCAAACTCAATGCACAATGTGATATTTAGCATTGTGTTACTATTTTATCGCTTTTTGTGCTGAATTGTTTAATCCTTTGTATTGCGACACATTATCTAAGCTGTGTTTTTTTTACCCTCGACTACATTTTTGATGGTGATGATGACAATGAGGGTGGTCATAACTCGTAATTTAAAGCTGCAGCGCCAGATGCCGAAGGATAAGGCATTACCCATAGGAGGGAAAAGCAGTCAGAGAATTTAGCGATCTACGATGTCAGTTCTCTTATTCCGCGTAGCTGGCATTTAAACACCTTATCAACATCACAGATGCTGTGGGTCTTCGTACTCGTACTACAATCGTTAAGCATAACAGCAATCGGAGCTTTGGCATACTATTGTGACTCCCAGACTACTGTGTGCGAGCATATCCAATACCGTTTTCTTTCTAATTCAGGGCAGTTCACACTCTAAAATTGCCTTTCCACAGCGTCCGTCTCCCATATCCTTTTGCATAACTCCAGGAGCTATTTAAGGTAAAAATGACCACGCTTCATCAGACATCAAGCAGTTCAGTTCATTTCGGGTTTCGCTACGACCGCGGCATGGAATCGCACTGAACGCAATTGTCATGGGTTGTGTAACGCTTTGATTTGACGCTTAAATGTGATGAGCAGTTATAAAATCCGTATGATTTTACTTTTATAATACGGTGCGACGACGGTTAAGATGCTGAACGCACTGGGTATACGGTCCAGCAAAGTGATACAAGAGACTTTACTGTTTCTCTGATGTGATCTATCCCGAGGCTCAGCTCAGCATGGCGGTGTGCACCAATCACCCTAAGTACCCAGATCAATATTACTATGCTACTTGCTACCCCGAGTATTTGCCCAACTAAGCGCATCACATGACATCGGCACATGATTTTGTTAACTCATGCTTGGTAGCTTATGCTACATTGTCATCATCCTACCAAAAAGAAAACTTGCATGCTTTCTACTGAATACAGAAAGCGTCACATAAGCATTAGGAAGCTCAAACTACTTCTCTTTTGTAGGTCAAGTGCCTAAGTTGCAGTACAAAAGTCAATGATTCCAGCCTGCATAGGTACGAACGGTTGTTGGTGGTCGCGTGCCAGCTGGTCGTCGACAGGGTCTACCGGTGTACTCCAGTGATCTGATTAAATCTGCATCGGTCAGCATGCCCCTTCGTTCTGCAAGGGCAAAGTCATTCATTCGGAGTAGAGCCGGAAAACAAATGACAGTAAGAGACGTTGCTTGACATGTATATAGAGCGAACCCTAGCCCTGACAGCTGAAGTAACTATTGTGTGCATCGTAATGACTGTAACACACTTGTGCGAGAGAACAACTTAGTACATCAGCGGAGTCTAGCGGAAAAGTTTTGTATTAACAAAAAGCTTCTGTACAGACATGTGAACAGCCTCCGGAAGATAAAACGTGGTGTTCCCACACTAATATCAGCAGGTGGATGTGCTCAAACCACCGAGGATGCAGTCAACATTCTACAGGTACAATATGCTCCGATTTTCCGACGTGCTCCAAACATTTGTAACATGCCTGCCCCATTCTCCCAGTTGCCATTCTTTACAAACGTCACTTTTAGTTCGGCGACCGTTTTGATATCATTGCACATCTATTGTTCCCTCGGTGTTGACAACATTCCCCCGAAAGCACTGCATGTGGCAGTTACGAGGATAGCTGAACCATTAACGAGATTTTTCCAAAGGTGCTTGGATGAACAGCAGGTCCCTAGCATGTGGAAGCAAGGCAACATTTCCCCATTTTCAAAAGTGGTAGTCGGTCAGAGCCAGCCAACTATCGCCCAGTGCCTGTCCTCCCGGTGCTCTTTATGGTGGTGGAATTGATCATAGCTGATGCTGTAATGTGCTACTATGAAAGGTCTAGCTTCATAACACTGGAGCAACACGGATTCCGCCAGCGTCGGTCATGTACTACTAACCTACTGCTTGCCTGTGGAAGTTGGACCGAGATCTTTGACAGTGGGACCGGCATTGATGTCATCTACCTAGCCTTTTGCAAAGCATTCGACCGCATATATCACCGTATGCTTCTCCAAAAGCTGCAAGCATAAAGAGTTGCAAACCTTATCCTTGGATGGGTGTGAAACTTCCACTTTCGGCGGCGCCTTTAGGTTCGAGTTTGAGGTTCCTTTTATGATCCAATTGCTGTGGACTGCGGTGTTTCACAAGCTTCGGTGTTGAGGCCAAAGTTATTCTTATTCATTATTAACGATCATGCGAGTGTCCTCAAGTCAAATTTCCTGCTTTTTGCCAATGACCTCAAGATATGGAGAGCAATCGACTGTCCTGAAGCTCACGATATCGTGTAAAGAGACTGAGTGCGTTTTTAAATGGGCAAAGCTAAATCTACTTCCGTGTAACACAGACAAACGCAAAACCGTGCATGTCCGCCACAAGCCCACACAAGCATAGAAGCTTAGAGACGATATGCTGAACACCACCTTGGGGTGATAATCCAAAACGACCTCGGGCTGTTCGGCGCAGTCCTTGAAGCCGTCCAAAACTGCGAACCAATTTCTTGGTCTGTTACGGAGGGCGTTCGGGAGGTTCGATCCCTTCATCTTCCCCCAAATGTTCAATGCGTATGTAAGGCCTCATATAGAGCACGCGATCCAGGCTTAGCAACCCTGATTAAAACGCGGCCTGGTTGCACAGTAGACCGCACAGCGACGGGCAACAAAAAATGTGAAGCGTTTGTCCCATCTGCAATACCATAAGCGAATGAAAGCCCTGCGAGTGTACGTCGGAAGATATCGCCGTCTACGAGGTGACTTCATCGTAACGTTCCAGATTCTGAAAAACCCCGGTACGCTTGCTGAGGATACCTGTAGCTTAGCTGCAACACAGAATTATGGGGTCATAAATTGAAACCGGCCACCCAATACAGTCGGCTGGAGTGCCGCCGGAATTACTTTTCCCTTCGAGTTTGTCAACCGTGGCACGCTCTTTCGACTTTTGTTATTTCAACGTCCACGCTACCCATTTTTAAAATACGGCTTGACGATACTTTACATCATTTACACTGCATGAGCTTATTTCTGTTCATTGAGTGATTACAAGACGCAGACAAACACTGTGCTCACAAACCCCAAGAAATGGGTTAGACTGATGTACCTACATGTTAACGTGGACAATATGGTGAGTCCACAGATGCGTTTTCACTTTTATGTAAGTTAAGTCAACTAACCTTATTTCCACAAACCATCCCACGGGACTTAGCAAGCCTTGGCTTTTTTTATCCGTATTCTACCATTGCGTACAGTTGACACATTATCCTTATTACTATTATTATTATTATGTATTTTTGAGGATAATGGTGTCGATGATACGGTTGTTGTTGTTGTCGTCGTCATTATTATTAATATTATTATTTTGAACTGTGGTATCAGCGACCGCGGCGGCAACTCTTTTAGTTCACTGGTTCCTACCCAACATCTAATGAAAGCTAGAGCGTGGTAATCATTCGGCTTTTAGTGCCTTACTCTTTTCATGTCAGCTCAAATAATGGTACCTGGAGATATTTCTTTTGATGCCTAAAAGAAAAGCCAGCAAAAGGAAGTAAAATGGCCTAGTAGAAAAACCCATCTGCTCAGGCAGTGACAAATCAAGCAACTTCGTTAAGCGACTTCTGTTCTCTTTATTCTGCAGGTCGATGGATTGACCTTCGGGACCCTGCGCCATGAACAGCCACAGTTACCAGGAGAAGAGACGGACACAACTGAAACAACAGAGGGCCACGGGGACATGTTAGCTGCAGCTGAGGTGTACACGGATATAGATCAGGGTGAGAATACGGTGGCTTCCGAATTTTCATAACATTAGATTACTATCAATACGGTTCCGAGATTGTGACCGATAGATCAGCTTACGTAACTTTTGCATAGTTCCGACTTTGTCCCTTAACTGGGTTAAAACAGGCCGCAGTCAGGTTTTGTCTGCTTGATCACGTGATAAATGTAGAGGAAGTTAACCACTGGAGAGGCGAACTATACACCAAGACTTGGTATATTTCATCAAAACTCTCTTGGATAATTTTTATGGTGTAAGCAAGTGCAAAACTAGCTGCTTCTTCTGTACTACTTTAGCATGCCGTCAACAACAACGTTGCATCATTTAAACTTGTCGCAACTTCAGTAGTTCTAGGGACCTTGGAGTATCCACTTGTAACATACGCACTTACCTCAACTATCCAAATGTTTTTCATCCATATCATCGACGCCGTCTGAGCATACGATAAGTACACGCACCTTAGTGTGTAAGCACCGGTAACTTAACTGTGCCTCGTTGCTATTCAACTGGCCCAAACACAGCCTCTTTTTGCGTTGGCACACAGATGACAAGGAATCCGAGCGATCGTTGAAACATAGGCCTTGGTATTTGGTCGCCGTTTATTGGGTATGCGGAATTGAGTCCACCCAGTCCAGTCAGTCAACGGTGGTCGAGGAGCTAAATCTGAGCATCGAAGAGAAGCCAAAATACAGGCTGGGCAACGAGATCGCCGCACTTGTCCTACTTGCTGCAGTAACTTTCGTGTGGGGCTTCTTCGCTTGAAGGTCGCCAGCATGCTTACCCAGAGTACATTCCCTTCAGAATTCCGAAGCACTTGGTGATGTCTGCGCTGATTCTATTTTCCTTAGCGCAGTTGTTTGCATGACTCCATCTGTCTACTGGATTTATCTGAATTAATTTGTGAACAGATTACTTGGCAACGTTTTTATAATCTACTTTATTCCTTTAAATGACAGTACATTTTTACCACCACTTTAAATATATTATTTGTTAAAACTGACCTGGGAGCAAACAACAGCGTAGTGCGAAGCCTAGTATTTTGTGGTTCAGATCCAAAGACATACGACCTGGACTAGTAGACTCAAGGCCATAATCAAAACCTCTGGAAATCAGCGACCACTAACTACGAATCGTTAGAGTATTGACTGAGTGATTGCTGACAAACGGCAGCAACGAGTCAAAATTTTCAACGAGGTATTCCATTACATGATCTCATTCAATGATACACTCATTAGTGTTCCACATGGAAGTAAATTCTGTGGTCTTCTGTATCCTAACATTTTACCAAACGTTTTTTCCTAGCCCATGAGATGAAAATCCTGTGAAAAAAATCGCTTACTCAACTGAAGCCGGCTTCGTTTCATCGGCTCTCACACAAGTATCATATGAATCGTTGTCGTGGACATCGGCTCAGCGTTGCATCCAATTTCTAAATGATAGTGACATCATATGTGTAACATGATAGCCAAATCGATCGTACTTCAAGTGGCGTCATTAGCCGCTAGTTGTGAGAACTGAGGGTGCAAATGGATGCCCGGGTAACAATCTCAGATTTAACGAAGGTGGATTCTGTCTGACAGTAGGATTTCACAAATCTCGTCATATGCCTACGGTCATTCTATGTCGATTGCGCCTTCCTTGCCATGACAACCAACGAGAAGCGTACCGACTATAGGTGGAATGGATGCAAGAATGCATCGAAGTGACGTTTGTGCTTAATGCTTCGCATTCCAGATAAATTAGTTGAAAGCGAAATCAAAGTTAGAATCGGAGAACACGCTGTGTGGTTGGATCGCGACACTCAAGCTCTATGCAAAGCTACTTAAGTCCAACAAACAAGAGGCGACTTGGCTAGAATTCCTTTCTTCTAAGTAAAATATATAATTACAAGACCAGGGGACCAAGAAATTCAGCTAAATGACGGCGAGACGGATCAAAATTAAATACGTAAATTCTTTTTCCTCGGACAGTGCGAGACATAACTGCATTGGCATGATCATGGTAAAGGTGCAACTAAAAGTCGGGGAACGTATATAAAATGGTGCAGGTTTACCATTAACATTGGAGCTGTGAGTTTATATATGTATGTGGGAGTGCAAGTGTGTAGGTGTTGTTCGAGTTTGAATATCTGCCACTGTACTTGTAATTGATCGCATGGATATTGTCACTTTATGTCCCACAAAGCGGTCAAATTTGTACTTCAAAATTAAAACTGGATTCGCCATTATAAGAAGGTGAGGGTCTAGGGAATCACTACGGGCTACACCTAAAGGCAGATTAATGTGGCTCGCGGGTTTGTTTGGAAGAAATCTTTTCCGAAACCGACCGTTTAAAACTCCTTGGTGAACGTTAGACAAACTGAGCATAATGCAAATTAGATGAGTAAGTACAACTTTGAATTATTTTCATTACCGATAATATGAGGGTCGAAGTAATTGATTTAGGACAGACTCCAATAAATGGAAATGCTAACCGGCTGCACTGGTGGAAGTTAGGAATAACATCATACGTACTTAGGCTGTCTCAAAATATGACGCCTTCTGAAGCATTAATTGGTAACTGCTATCTGTCACATCACATGCCGGCGGCCTTGGTTGTCATTGGAGATTGATGGGCTATTAGCTGGCACTATCGATTCCGGTTGCAGTGTCTCTAGGATGACAGCATCACGTTGTACCGGGAAAACCACTGGAATGGTGTATTCAAACGGTTACAAAAGTAGATGCCCACCATCTTTAGAAGATAGGATAAACAGAACGCCAAAAGTACCATTAGAACAGGATATCCCCTTAGCCAACGTTTTCCCAACCGTTTACAAATTTCCCAGTACCACTAGGGTCGTCATTGACAACCATAGTGACTTCACGTTTCCGGTTACACACATATTAGAGCTGGTCCTCATTTGTGCATAAGCTACCAGGTGGATGGCTTGTAGAAATCATGTGACAATCAGCCACACTCAAATGCACTAATCTTGCTTGGTTTTCAACAATTTTTGGTCATCTTAACATCATCAGCAAGCTTTCTGGTAGTTAGCACCTCGCCACTAACAGTGAAACCACTGAAACGATTGCATGCTTATGCTAGTTGATGCACGTCAGAAATATCCTTCGCCATGTCATCACCATTAAAACAATCTAATACCATATCCTTCCCAAATTAACGACCTATCATCGCTAACCATTGTCTCTAGAGCACAGATTCATGCATCTGAAAATGACAGTATTGGCTGGTAGCACCCAAGAAAGAAGAAAGTGGTGTCTAAACGTTTTGCAAGGAGGGCAGCATTTTGTGAGGTCAAAGCGTGTCGGGCCATATACAGTCTGACACTAGGATAATATCTAAAATTACACATGCATGAAAAACCTCCAAGCCTAAATTTATTATTTCATGATGAGGCCGTGGGCCGGACTTTGGACATCCTTGGGTTAATAGAAAGCTCTGCAATATTTTGGTTATCGTACCCTCTTCATCACTTAACACTATTGGCTAGGGCCAGCTTGCTCGTGCAATGATTGAGGATGATGTGGGAAATTCTCCTCAGTACTGCAGGGTCACATACTTTCATCCCGTTGAAAATGATCTAAGTCATAACAAACTGGGCACCGAGAGGAGGGTCGGTGGACGCAATCGACAGACTCTGCAAGGTTGCTGCATCAGAACGAGTTCTGATGATCGCATGCAAACAGAGCAGTCAGGCTCTTAAAGCAGCCACTTAACTAGAGCTAGTATTAGTATTATTCTAATCTGGCGACCGACGGTAGAAGCTGCGGCGTAGCACAAGGGGTATTACAGTCGCAAACGCTTGAGAGTTGTTACCTTGTGTAGCTGCATCTGTTAGACCAACTAAAAGAAAGCCTACAGTGGATTTTATATTTGAAGAGCGCCAATGTAATTGTACACCGACTTAATATCAACAGAATTGTATCACTACGTCCTGCTGACGGGTTATTTCGCTTACACAAGCATACTGAGTAAAGAGATCAGATATCGCATTGGGCTCACCGGAGATCGGAATGAGTTAGCACTGCACATGGGCCATCCAGTTACCTTATGCCTATGACTGGTTACTTACGCTCATTAGAACGTGACGGTACATAAGCAGACCTCAAGCTAAATACTGTATGGTACTGGGACATTCGGATCACATACGTCCGCGTTGTACTGGGTCCCTGAAAGAAAAACACTTAAGTGTATCAGATTCGGTACAGTGGGCAACAGACGCAGGCCCACAAGATTCTGTCCAATCGTCGCTTCGCAGACCCTAACGCGTACCTAAACCTACTGAGCGTTTGTGCCGGCAGGGTGAACATCGCAAGAGCGAAAGGGATGTGTCACGTGCCTAGAAAACTACTATCTGTTTAGGTTAAATGTGCACGGATTTGTTATTCTGCGTCATACCACCTGACCAATCACTTCCCAGAGTCCTGGGTTTCGTGTAACTTGTGCCATGAATCAATGGTTTGACAAACTTCGTGCTGTCCAAACTTGTTCTACTTGCCGGACTACGGTGCATGAAGCGTTTTTCGCTTGCCAATACTGTATGTTACAACCTATCAGCGGAAACTGAGAGTAAGTATTCGTAAACATCACTGGTTATCCGCACTTCCCACTTCCGTGTGACTTGGGCCTTTTAATCAGCCTCTACAACTCGCGCGAGATCAGCGGCGAACCGAAGAACTTTTTGGAAATCAGTTCATTGGTTTACACTGACACCATCTACCCGACGATGTACAAAGTAGAAAAGAATGATTGAGTACTGAGGGAATTCCGTTGTTTAATCCTTTGGCTCATGTGCGGAGAAACAAGGCTAAGAACCTTCAAATGTATAGACATAGAAACTGCTTCTCTTAGTGTTTAGGTGCAAGAACTTAAGCAACCAGAGAGGGGAAGATATTAACCGCAATCAGCACACCACATTATTATTGATATTCGGGACATTAAATCCCTTCAAAAATTGCGCACGCGCTCACTGGAAAAGTTGGCATACAGGTTATCACCCCATACAGATGTACCGAATAATGCAATGACAGATGGGCCCAGAGCTCAGATCATCGATAAGACTTAACCGCATTTGCCGGACAAGACAAGGCAGTCAGCCACAAGATTTCACCTTAAGGTCCGGACTTTTGATAACACGCACTGCCGCTTGCATCTACTTTTGGTGTGCAATTTATACATAATCCATTACAACCATGGCTTTGTGTAACGAATTCCCCTGAGGTAGCAGTAGCAGCGGCCTTTGGTGGACCAAGGTTTCGAGTTCATGCTGATTCGATGGATGTTCATCCTGCCAGGTAAGGCCGACAAGGAATCAAAGAACCATTTTACTGTGAGGGGAGGGCATCAGCGGTGCGTTTGTACACAGTACCGACACTTCAATGCCGCGGAACAACCACCAGTCGCACATGGGCTAGGGATACTGCGATGGTCGCACTGCCCCTACGCAGTCTCGAAGCCGCGCCCTCAGATTACTGTAGTGTAGAATAATAGCATCCTATGACGGTAAAGCAAAGATAAACAAAACGGTATATTTTGGTAGGGTTGTACACAGTCGGACAGGTTAAGCAGCTAATACGCACCTGTTTTACTGCAGTGAGTATTAGCTGCTTAACCGGTGCGATTGTGTACAAAGCCAAAACGTAGCATTTTGTCTATCTCTGATTCGTTGTTATATAATGCTGTTATTCTACACTACAGTAACTCAACTATGCAGATATAACTGCCCTTCAACCTTAATAGTTTCATTAGTTTCCGCGGGACTATTATCTGCGTGTTGATCAGCACACCGTCCGGTTTGCGAGATTGCACATTGTCTGAAGTCTAATGTGCTTGCATAGTTCACGAAAGAGGGAGTTTCGCACGTCCTAGTTAATCACGATAGGTTATGTAACGTCGCTGCTCGATAGGAGTAAGATTGAGGGTTAGGCAGATCGAAGCCGAAATCAAACCACTGCAACGCAGCACACACAATCA